AGGTAGAGGCTCATTATCCTTCAAGTCTGTATTAGATATTTTAGGAATTTTTTTTCTTCCTAAGAATGATTAAACAATGCAGAAAATAAGGGACAAGAGAAGTCACTTTATGTAGAAATATAAATAACTTACTGGGTTGTCCACATTTCATACTGTGAAATCTCCTGTTTCGAGACAAGGACATTGTTGTAGGCGAAGTGTTATAAACTGCCAATCCAGACTCCTTTCAGAAAGAACAAAGAAATCAGAAGCTATAAACAAGACACCTAAAAGTCTCCTCAGTCTGTCAGTAAATTTACCATTTTTAGTAAGATGATTGATTTGTGTTGTCTTACTATAAAGACAGTGTCTCAAAATACTCCATTGTACAGTAAAAAGTATACTCAAGACTCTACTCCAATATTTTTTCTTCTTCCTTTCTCCTAAACATGCTTCTTACTGAAGATTCCTGCTCAGCAGGCTAGCCCAGAAATAAACAAAATGTTTATTACTATATCTTGAATTCTTGGTGGAAGAACCTAAACCCAGAAGCATTCACTATTATTGGTGGTTGATTTGGTTACCTGTTTGCAGCTATGTGGCATTTTTATTTTGCTGAGCTTTTCCCAGAAAGAGCAGGGAGGAAGCAGAGAGAAAGGTGAACCCTCTGAGGAGCCACGAACAAGGACTACAAAGCAATCCTTCCTTTTCCCACCCTGGAACAAGGGAGCAGGAACCACACACCCTAATTACATTTCAGCAACGTGCCATGAGTGACACAGTCGAGTTGCCAAGACAAACCACATCCAAAAACTTGAGTGCTGAGCTGTAGTGACCCGATACTGCCAGCTCGTTTACCTGCATCGAGAAGCAAAAAAGGCTCCCACAAAGCAATTGTTGCTGATGAGCCAGACCAGACCTCAGCTTTTCCTCAAGCAAGGATGGTTTGTACAACACATGACTTCTTGAAAAAGCTAAAGCTCTAGATACAATCACACAACCTTTTCTCACTGTTCTAACACTGAACTTGTCTTTGGGATTGACAGTTCTCGTGGCTGGGATAAAATACACATTCGAGGGCAAGTCCTGAAGAATTACCAAGGGTAGAACAGCCACCCAGAAAACAGATAGTATCACAGCAATGTGCAGATACATTATTGAGGCAAGACACGAGAAGCCCATTATCCCGATGACAACCAGAAGGCGCAACCCTCTGTCGCGCACCGCCAGTCCCCCTTAGTGGGGTCTCCCCGGGCAGCGGCGCTGGCAAGCCTGGTGCCACCTGAACTCATCATCCTCACGAGCCCTGGATGCAATGTGGTGGATGCTCTCTTTCCGGGGCCTGCCCGGCGGGGAGCTGCACACGCCCGTGGCCCGGTGTGCCCAGTGAGGTGCCGCGGTGCCGGCTCCGCGGAGCCCGCCCGCCGCTCCTCAGCCCGGCCCGCATCCTCACCTGCGGCGCCGCGGCGGGGCCGCCCCCGCTCCGGGCTCCCGCGCTGCTGCCTCGGCTGAGGGGGAGAAAAGAGCACGGTTAGCTCGGCCCGGGCGGCACAACCACCCAGCCAGCCCGAAAATCCCCGCTGGGACCCGGCCGGCTCTTACCTGGGGAGCGGCAGGTCCCGGTGTGCTGGGAGCTGCGCCCAGACACCCCACGGAGACAGGGCTGGAAGGCAAGGGCGGCAGGTTAGTGATGGCCCGGATGCCCTGTCCGCCCTCCCGTGCCGTGCCCCGGCCGGCGGGACCCTCACCTGAGCATAGGCAGGCGCACAGCAGCGCCCCGAGGAGGAGCCGGGTCTCCATGAAGGCGGCAGCGGCTTCCCTCGGAGCTGCGGCCGCTACCTGCGCCCCGAGCTCATCCCGCCCTCCCGGGCGGGGCGGCCGGGGGGTTTATGGTTTATCCGCCGCCCACCCCCACCCCCGGCCCGGCCCTGCCCCGGCACCCACCCCGGACACCGCCCCCCGCCCGGCAGCGGGCTCCGGCCCCGCAGGCCGCTCCCCGACATCGCCTCTCCCTCCCCGACCCTCCTTGGGCGCTGCCCTCGCCGCCTCCACACATCCACTTCCATCTGTCCGCCCTCCGGGGTTTTGGGAGGTTCGTGTGCCGCTGTCTCGGCAGCAGCAGCAGCCGGGACCGCCGCTGGGAGCCGGGGCTGCTCCCGCAGCTCCTGCGGATGAGCAGGGATGGAGCGCTCAGCTCCTGCCGGGAGCGGCAAATCTTCTCCGTGCTCAGCGTGGAGCAGTGGTCCCACCGAAAGAGGTGTCAGGACTTGAAGGCATAAGTGAAACATAAACTTAATGCAGCGTGCATATAGCATGTATGGATGAGTTCCATAGGTCTTCTGATTACTTTTTTTTTTTTTTTTTCCTATAAATTCACACTCTGGCGCTCTCTGTGGAGGCTTTTCCGTGTTTATTCTTCTTCTCTTTTCTCTATTTCTTTTTTCATCCTTTATGATTAAATGTGCTTCCTTCCATTATGTTTTTCCCTTGTGTCTCCCCCTATCACTGTTACCTTTCCTGTTATTTTCCCTTCCCCTTCTGCTGCTGTCTCTCTCCCCATCATTCTTCAGGTTTGCATATCTTATGACAGAAGCTCTAGAAGCTGCCCATACCAGGTGAGAAACTGTCTCAGATAAAAAGAGGCCTTTTCTGACTGCTTTGCAAAGTCTGTTAACAGTAAGTCATTAAAAAGATCTCTTGTCTGCTTTTGTAACTTGTCCCTGTGGATTGTATTTCTTGTGTTTCATTTCTAATGAAATGATGGAAAACTAGTGATGTTTTTGCTGAGAATTCTGTTGCCTCCTGTAAGCGTTGGAGGGAGAATGTGCTTGAGAGAAAAAAAAAAAAAAAAAAGTGAGGAATAGAAGATATCTTTTAACTTGACACAGCCTTCTCCAAATAACCCCAAACAAAATTTTACAAGTATGTGCTATCCTCAGCCTATATCTGCTCTGAGTGCAGCATTTGGTGCACTTTCACTGATCCAACTCACATTAATGGAAGTAGAGAAAGTAGATAGAAGCAAGAGGGATCAGGTTACACAACACACTTTAATGCATTTCTTTGCCTACTAAATGAGCTGCTCACTTTGTTCATTTTCCCTTTACGCCACAAGTAGCAAACAAGAATTGGAGCTAATATAGAACCAATTTAGATGCAATTTTATTTCCTCCTGGGAAAGACTTCATTATCTAAAAATACCAAACAGTCATAATTGTACCATCTTTTAATATATGGTGAATTTAAAGCTGAAAACCTCAGAACCATCTCATAAATTTACTGATTATCCAGCTTCCAGTTTTGGAGCACGAGTTAGCCTTGTAGAATTGTTTGCTTTGTATTTACTCACAGTACAGCACAGGAATTCATGCAACAGCAGACTATCAGCCCACAAAGTTTGTCATCCTTCCTGCACCGTGTCCTTTAAATGATGATTTGGAGCAGTTTTCACACCAAGTGAAGTTAATTCCACAGTTGTTTACTATGTGGAGGAGTTTCTGACTCCTGAGAAATTTATCTGTATTATCAAAGCCAGTTACTTTCTTTCAAATATACATAATTTTGAGCTTGGATAAGATCTATTCCTGTAAAGCCTTCTAGAAACTATTGATAGATATCAATGATTGTTCTAGACTATATGTAAACTTAAAGGCGTGACATGCAGGGTTATAATGTGTGCTTCAAATTTTTTTGTCTCCTTCTTTCTCTTTTCAAATACAAGATAATTTTGTTTTGCATATGCACGGCAGAAATTCTGTATCTCAGTGTTTAAGTCTGTATCTGTGTGGAGAGACTAGCTTTTTGGTATTGTATGTATTCCACACATATGGAACTTAGGTAAAAGTGGTTTATGTATTAATAGCTGCAATTTTAAGAGAAAACTGTTTTCTGAAAATGATTGTATTTATTTGTATATAGGCTTAATATGTACTTCTCTCATATTCCTGACACCTGATATGAGAAATGGGCAGTATTCATTAGCTGAAATCTTCCAACACAGCTAAACCATTTGAAAGGGCTAAGAGCAGTTTCTAACGAGCCGCTATAGCTTACAAAAGTAATCACACAGAAATTATAAAACAGAGCACAGGGGATTGTATGGCAGTACGGATTTTTTTTTTTTTTAATCACACTTTTATATGTATTCATACAAGTTTCCACTCAGTTGGAAGGAGGAGAGGTGAGTTACCTGTCCTTAAGCAAACCCTGCTTTTCTCTGGAGCAATATGATTAAAGGTGATTCTGTGTGGAGACCAAGACACTTGGGTGAGCAGGTGTCCTCCACTCACTACACTCCTGACTGGGGAAGTCTGTGGTCTTGATCCACAGTAGGGAAAGTGGGAGAAGAACCCAAAGTGGGAGAAGCTCAAGACAAAATAGTATGAAAGAGTTTCGTCTGAAATAGGCTCCTTTTCAGGTGATGCGAGCTTGATTCTTCTGCAGGTACTCACAGAAGCCACGTCAGAGGCTCTATTTGTAAGCAACAACATTGTGGGAAAGGCTGGGGGAAATCTGATTTAGACAATGATGCATTAGCTTGACTCTGCTGACCTAAAACCAAAGAAGTTGAGATTATTTGCCGTACAGCAATTTATTGAAGCAATTTTTTTCTGTTTGTTTGGGCTCAGATTGTTTTAAGTTTGGATGTTTTGTTTTTAACCCGGGCGTTAGTATGCTTTAAACTTCACATCTTCGTGTTTTTCTTAACTATCAGTGTTACTGACATGCATAGAATAAGTACAAAAACGGGAAAGAAATCGGTACGGGAGCTGAGTGCGGTTTGAGGAGAACCAATTGTACAAATCAGCCCGGGGAAACGCGCGGGTATCATGCCGCGATGGGTGTTTATTTTCCTTCTACTTTTACTTTCTCGGCCGTTTCGGCCGCAGGCGCAGGGCGGGCAGCGGTGCCCGGCTGCGATGCCGGGATGCCGGAGGCGGCGGCGGGCGCGCCTCTCGCCGCCCCGGGGCGCGGCCTCGCCCGCGCAGCCGCCCCGCGCAGCGCCCGCGCCGCGCCCGCAGCCGCGCCATGGAGCGCCGCGTCGCCCGCGAGTTCCGGCACAAGGTGAGGCGGCGGGGACGGCCGGGGCCGCCTCCCCGGTGGAGCGGAGGCTGCGGGCGGCACAGCCCCCGGGCCGGGCACAGCCCCCCGGGCTGGGCACAGCCCCCCGCGCCGGGCACGGCTCTGCCCCGGAGAGCCGCGGGGCAGGGAGGGAGCAGCTCGGGGACTTTGCACTGCCCTGCCACCGGCGCGGGTGGCAGCGTCCTGGGACGGGATGGGTGTTAAAGCCCTTAGAAAGAGAGGGAGAGAAGAGGAGCGTTCCCCTGTGCAGGAGCGTTTTCAGGGCTTTGGGACAGTTTATTTTTTGTTTAATGCCCCGTTGGAGCCGGCGCTGCTCTCGGCAGGTGCTGAAGTCCCGGCGCTGGCAGTGCCCGCTCAGCCCTGCGCGCACCCGGCGGGGCTCGGCCCGCCCTGGTTCCACCTTAACATTCCCCCGCGCGGCTGTGCGCTCATGTGCAAACGCGCTTGATGCATGGAGCGGCTCGGGCTGCCCGGCGTTTTGTCGTTTTGTCATTTATCCGGTTAAATAAGTGCTCGGCAGAGCGCAAAATTGTATGAGCGAAGAATGCCCAAAAAGCTCTAATTAAGGAAAGGAAAAGGAAAATAGTTTATATGTGTAAAAGATGTTTTTGCCAAGCCGTTTAAGACTCTCTCAGATTAAGGTTTTCTGTAGTGTTTTGGGGGTGTTGTTTTGTTTTGTGAAGGAAATTGTGGATGATTTTGTTTTTCTGGGTTTTTTTTTTGTTTTGTTTTGTTTTTATTTTTCTTTAATCGGCTAGGACACTCAATTTCCACAAAGTAATGTAATGTTTCATAGAAGTATCTGCCTTCTGGTAATAAACACATTAACCAAAAGATTGTTAGGATTAATTAGACGGATTGCGAAAAACTTCTGAATGTCAAACTGGAGTTCTAAAACATTAAGGACCTGGATATTCCATAATGATGACTGTAGCTATCTAGCACATTGTTTGTGCCTTGCTCCCTATTACTGTATAACTCAACAGTGGGTTGTGCAACATTTCTGTAAAGACTCCGGTTTCTAGGTGGGTGATTACTGTCTTGAACTTTAAACCTTCTCCCTTTCATTGCTGCTATAATTCATAAATCATTCAAGCCCCACCCCTGATAACGTAAGATGTATTGTCAGTGTTGCTGCAAGCAGCTGGGATGCACGTATCAGTGACAGCTTTATCTGAGTTAGAAGATATTGAAACGGGTCTTTTTTAAAATTTTGTATCCTCCTGCCTCTAGTGACCTCTGGGGCATCCACAATCTTGGACGCTTACTTTCTCTGTGACATACCAGTGAAGATGCTCACTACAAAATCTAAATTTCCTCAGTTAATGGCAATTCTTTTTCTTTTATTTTTTTCTTAGTTTCTATTTTCTTAGCAATTTTAATCAGTTTTCCTATCAACCAAGCAGCAATGTAAAGTATGTTATATATCCAAACCAGTTTTCCCCTTTCCTTCAATATTTTTCCAAAATCTGTGTAGCTTAAACAGGACTTCATACTCTTCTTTGAAATGTGACAGATTGGAATAGTGCTAACTTAGTGCACAATTATCATCTGAACTTTTTCCACACCAAAAAAGTGCTTTTTCCTCCCCACAGCTTCTATTCCACTAAATAAACTTTGGTAGACTTCTTGACAGACTTCATTATTTGTATGTATGTAGGTACAGATTGTGTGATTTTTTTATAAATTTCTATTAAAAAAGTGTAATGTACGTGAGAAATAGAGCATAAGCAACTCTTTGTAGTCTAGGATTATCAATGATACAACCACTGTGAAGACTCTTTAAATAACCAGAGAAGGGTTGAGGGTGGAAGGGACACCTGGAGGTTCTCTGCCCCATGCTCAGGGCAACGAAGAGCCAATTGTCCAGGACTGTGTCCAGATGGTTTTTCTTAAAAGCTGTGAAATCACCTATCCCATGACTCTGCAGTAATTTTCTTGAGAAATAAATATTAAAGTACTTCTATGATCCAAGTTATACCATGTCACCACTAATTTATTATTTTTTAAGATAGTGGGGGGATAATATTTTACAATTTATGAAATTAGAGTCAGCTTTTAGAAGCTGATGATAAGTCCAGGTAAAGCGTATGTCTACAGTAAGACTACCCCAAGGAGTTAAAGAATCAGAAAAGTGCCACGAGATGCAGGTGGCTATAATACAGATAATTGATGGAAGAGAAGGCAGCAGGAGGAGAATGGCCCGCTAGTAAGGGTGTCCAGGGTGATTAACCCAGCTGTAGCATTCTGAATATATAAGAAATCATGTGGGCATTGAGTTTTGTCAGGAAAGATGGAAGTTGCTGGTGTAGGATGAGAAGTGCAGGAGTCAAACAGAACTGACTGTTTTGTCAGAAGAAATAGCAGAATTTAGACATGGTCCTCTATTTTCTAAGAGGAAATGAGGATGTATCCACCAGCAATCATATTAGGAGAAAAATGGAATGTTGTTAGTCTTTGCGTTCTCTCTCAGGAAAAGGAGTTGATGATGGTTTTACCCTTTGCTGTGTAGGGTTGGTACACTTAAACATTTAATGTTCTCTGTGGGACACTGCTCATACAGTATCTTAGCTAGCACTGGGGATTGAGCTCTGTATTTCATCTGTCAGGGAAGTGAAAAATAGATGCTGGAATTATTTTGACCTTGAGTTTTACCTTTACAACTAGCCTTGACTCCAGTCTGTGCACAGTATTGCTGACGTTTTGATTGCAAATATTTTATTTCCTTTCAAGGCAGGCTTTATCCCTATGTGTTTTGAAATTCACTGTGAATAAATGGTATTCACTGGTATAACTGTAAAGCAATCTTGACCTGCATGTAGCTTTCTGGCCTTTAGGTGTTTTGAAAGTGTCTTTTTCCAGAGGAGACAAGTAACAGAAAACCACCTGAATGAGAAGTCTTGCTGGTTTTAGGGAGCCAGGAGGTACAAGTAATAGAAAACCACTGGTATGTGAAGTCTTGCTGACTTTAGAGAGCCAAGTGGGACAAAAGGAATATGAAGCATGTATTTAGTTTAGAACATAATACAAACCATTGCGAACCTGGAAAGAAAGGGCCTTTCTTTAAGTATGCAAATTGCTTCTCAGTCTTCACGTCACAGTAATATTACCCTTTAGGTCAGATGTAAATTGTCTTCCTAAACATCAGGCTTGTCCAGATGTAAAACTGATGTGATGTGACCTCTTGCTGCAAGTAAGATCAGTGAGGGTCTCACTATCACTGAATATAAATTGAACTCCTCATGTAAGAATTCGGGTTTGGTTTTCTTTTGCTTTAATTTACTGTAATTATCCAAGAGCGGGCATAGTAATATGACACTGGTTTAAGTAAAGGTACTATTAGTGGGGGAGGAAAGAATAACTAGCAAGTTCTATCAGTTAAGAGCTGGAGCAAAGAGGAACAGAGGTGTAGCAGTTTGCATAATGCTATAAGTGAGCTCCTGAAATCGGTGGTTTGGACGACAGGACAGAGATCATATCTCAGCGTGGTGGTTTTATCTGTGACAGCATGTGCTACATTAATGAGTGGCCAAAAAGGTTTCTGAAGACATTTATTCAACAGTACAGTGATTATCAGGTAAGACAAATATGATATTACTGTAATAATACTACTGCTGGGTGGAAATCTAGAATGCAGACTATATCAGGGTTCACCACCTTGTCTAATTGTTGTCATACTAATTTTAGAAAGTCTCATTGTAAGTGTGACACTGTGAGGTAATGCTCTGTTGCAAAAACATATTTATATTTAAAAAATTATTTTTCCTTGATGAAACTTTTGCTCTATGGCTTAAGAATCTGTGAAAGTCTCTCATGCTCAGCATTTGTGGCTATTAAGTCAGAGATTAACAATAATGTCTTTGGGTTTTCAGGTCAATCTATTAATTGACAATGAAGCAGAGAAGGATTACCTTTATGACGTGCTGCGGATGTACCACCAGTAAGATCTAGCTTTATATATGTTGGTGTATAATTTTACTAATATTTTTAAATTTGAAGAATTAATATTCACTATTTTAAATAGTCTTTCTATATGCTACTAGAGAAGTATTTGAAATAAGAGGGTTTTATCTTGTTTAATGAAATCCTGTGGTTTCACAGCACAATCTGCAGGCAAAGAATGAGTATGTCTCTAATCACTTATAAAGTTACTTTGGTTTTATGGCTTGGCGGTTTTTTATAAGAGTTTGGTGGATTCATATCTGGAGGTGTGTGGGGGGAGGCTTCTGCATAATAAAACATTAAGAGTGTATTAATAAAAGTCATTAATATTTCCAAATAGTGCTTATTTGTTTGATACAAAGTTTTCACTGACATGGCTTTTCAAAGATTTTTTGCTAACTTTTCAGATAACAATTTTGCAACTGTCCTTCACAAATCTGGAAAAATTTAGTCTTGGAATCTGTTTGGCATGTTTAATAACACAATGGTAAAAAATTGGAAAGGTGATAGGCCTATTACCAATCCTTTTGCTGAACTGATTTAAACCACAGTTGCCTCAGACTTGTTTCATTGCAAATGACATCAGCCTATGATCTATTGTTTTTCAGAGAAGATGAGAATATATTTTCCACTAATAATAAGCAAGTGGCTCTCATAGACATTGTTTCCATTCCTATTGTAATTAAAAGCTTCTCAGCTGAGTGAAATGTATATGTTTCCATCTGATATTTGTAGTTATGGGGGTATTCAGCTGCATATCTGATTCAGTTTCACACAGGTCTGTCTAATTGCTTTTCCATTCATAAAGACCGTTGTTTGCAAAGCCAGCTGGTTCAGCAGATCTGAATTATTTAAAATCTTCTTGCAGTTACAAAATTAACAATGCATATGGCAACTTTTCTTCAATTTCCACAATTGCAATGTCTTGGGCAAAATTTTCAATATCTCTGTGAACATATGAGGATGATGAATCACTTCCTGAGAATACATTGTGAAATATCTCAGGGCAAAAATATGTGCAATTGCTGTTGGAGTTAGAACTCAATTTCTGCTTCACTGTGAATAGTACTTCCAGAAGTATTTGCACTCTAATCCCATATAGGTGTTCCTGATCTGTATTTTCAATGCCTATGTCTCAGAAATATTGCATCCCAGGAAATGTAAATTTAAAGAAAGGGAACAGCAAGTAATACGGAAAAGGTTTAACTGAATATTTTATAGGAATAGCTCCACTGAACCTTAGCTATTCCTCCACTCCTATAGCTGTACAACAAAGTATATTTTCTAGACTATAACCATCTCACTGCTGCCAATATCAAGGAGACCACTTTTTTAGCTCTCACAAAAGAGATGTTCACAACAGTTTAACTTCTGTAAGTTTTGCGGATTAATCACCCTTCAAATTTGATTGTGAAGAAAAATTGGAACTTAAACAAAGTCTTTGCTCTAGCTGTTGAATATTGTGGGCTTTTTCCTGGATTGAAGCAATTTGTCCTCTAAGTTCAGAAAAAGAAGGCGCTTTTAGTCTGTATTTACTTATAAGGATCTCTAACTAATAAGGAAACAAAACTCCATTACGTAGGTATGTCTAATCAGGAAAGTTCTTTTCAAACAGTTCCATAAATCTTGGGGATACTCTGAGAATGAAATTGGAGATGTCATCTAAAATGTGATGTGCATGACCTTAAGAGATCAAGTGAATATATAGAAGACTTCACATGTTTTGAAGCAAATACTCTTTATTTACAGAAGGTTTGCTTTCTCAGGGGCAATTTTGCTTTCATCAAACCAGTTTCTGCATAAATATCTTTTTTTGGTAGCTTGAAAGGACATGCAAATATTGAAGCCACGTGCACAACTTATAAAGTGAAGCTTTTTATTGGTGTGTTGTTTACCTGTGTTTGTTTTGCCACTGTGTTCCTGCAGGTCTATGAATCTCCCAGTGCTTGTGGGGGACCTAAAACTCGTGATTAATGAACCAAGCAGGTTGCCTTTGTTCGATGCTATCCGCCCACTCATCCCATTAAAACACCAGGTGGAATATGATCAGCTTACACCCAAACGATCGCGGTAAGAAAATGCAGAACAACAACAAAACAATGCAATGCAGTTGACTTAAATAAAAGCAGGAAATACTCAGTTTTGAGGTAATTCAGAGTAAAATATTGTTCGTCTGTGTAGAGTTAGGCATAGTTATTTTACTTTTGCTATATTTGCTAGAATTACAGCTATATGTAATGTACTTAAATTGTTTGCCAAGTGGTTTAATCTAGTAAAAGCAGGGTAAAGGAGTCAAAACCAGTATTTTCTCATTTTTCTTGAATTTAATAATAAAAGAAATCTCACAGCTCTAGCCCTCTAAAAGCAGTTTCGGTGATTGCAAATATCTTTCATGTGAATAAACTTGATGGTTTTAGTTAACACACATCCATCCAAACTTCAGTAAACTTGCTTTTTTATGCCTAAATTATATAAGAGAAAAATAATGTCCAACTTTCATATGAAACATTATTGAGACAAGGTGTTATGCAGCTGAACACTCAAGTGTTTTTTGTTTTTGTAGAAAGCTAAAAGAGGTGAGATTGGATCGATTGAATCCTGAAGGGCTTGGATTAAGTGTAAGAGGTGGAGTGGAATTCAGCTGTGGCCTCTTCATCTCCCAGTTAGTTAAAGGAGGACAGGCAGATAATGCTGGACTTCAGGTAAGAAATTTCCATTCATGTTAGCTGTTAAGGGTTGTTCTTTAACATTTAGAAACTGATTTTGCTAAGATACTCTTTGTCTCTTCTAATAGAATTCCTAAGATCCGTAGAGCAATGCCATGGTAAATGCCATTATACCAGTGGTGAATCAAGTCATTAAAAATGTTCATTTTGCTGCTTTTAATGATATGTAAACTTTTTTTTTTCTTGTTTGGGATATGCTAATTTTTGAAGGTTAAAACTTTTTCTGAAAGGCTTATTCTTCATGAGTAGCAACAGTTATATGTAAGCAGATGGAAAGAAAGATTTCTGGACTGTGGAAGAGTGCTTTAAGTTCCTAAGTTCTGATTAAATGTAGAACATATAAATACTAAAAGTGGTAATTCCATCTTGCATAGATATTATTTGTGTAATGAAATGTTTACTTGAAGTTTATGTACAAATTGTGGGGGTTTCAGTTTATGCAATAAGAGAAAGAACATATTTTTTACTATTCCCAGTGTCCTCTGTACTGCATATTATTGCACAATCTGTGACTGAATTTTGGATACATGAACTTGCCAATAAGATTAGCAAAAATAATTATGTGTAGAAATGCTGCAATAGTTATATAATTAGCATTAACGAAGTGGTGGGTGTTTGTTTTCTTTTTGAATGTGGCATTGCTTCATGAAGAGAGAAGTGAGAAATCGCTGTGCCGAATGTCTGCATCTTTCTATCAGATTTTAAATCTGATAAGGTGTACTAAAGGTCTGAATTTGACTGGAAAGGCTAATATACCTGGCTACTTTTAATTTGTCAAGTCTGAATATTTGCTGTAAGAATTGATGGCTAAGGATGATGTTTAACACTAGTTCAAAATATATTAGACCAGCGTGATTCATTACAATGTTTAATTAAGCTAGCATGTTTTTGTAGATATGCTTCAGTATTACCTCACGAATCTCTTAGATTAAAAAATAAAAATAAATATCTGTCAACAAAGCAGTTGAAGTTAGGTTTCTATGTTTGTATCACTCATGCTGAAAGCTTTCTAAAATTTAAACTGTTCCTCTTCTGTTTGTGTACTCATACCTATAAATCCCATCCAGAATCACCTTTGAATTAGTTCCATCTTCTGTCAGCCAGCTCTGCCCAGGTGCATGACTGGCATGCATGAAAGCTGCATCCAGAGGGATGCTTTAGAAACTCCTTGGAACAAAACCACAAGTTCTGTGTGAAGTTAGAACCGAGAGTGTTACAAACCTTGTACTCTATATGTTGTCAGCCTAGTTTAAGCATGGGATTTGCCAATGGGAAACTGCAGAAAAGGACACTGATGCAGCCTCTCAGTTTGCCCTACAAAAGTTCATGTGCCTCATCTTCTGCATTACACAGCAAGAATGGGAGGTGTAGACAAGGGAGTTGTTCCTGGGCTGTGGTGAGCTCAGTAGGAGAGATTCCATCTGCTTCCTTCCTCAACTGCTAGAAACTTGAGGAAAGGATCAAGACCAGTCACTCATATGGCTTTTGTAAATATCTTCTGGAAGATATTGAGAGGCACTAATAATGCTGATCAATAAAGGATTTAGTAGCCACTGCCTTAAATTGCCATTCTAATATATTGGTGTTAATGCTGTGTTGCAGCTCTGCTTGTTTCAGACTAATGTTTTGACACAATCACTGGATAAGGAGAGATGCTCAGCTGTGGTGCTTTTATTAGGATGTCAGTTTTCCTGCTCTCTCTGTACACAAAAAGGGCCCACGGCTTTCTGTGACTGAGATCATCGTAGGACATGCTGGTGTCAGTGAGGGGGATTGTAAAGGATCGTTGGGCTGGAGTGTACAAACTATTGCAACTCAGAACATTGTCAGGGTTTAGCAGAGACAGTAGGGACAATAAGGGGGAAGAATGCTTGAGACTGCCTCTGAATTTGTTAGGGTTCGATTATATGAATTCATATGGGCAGATGGTGCTTTGCAGCACCTGTAACTGCCTGGCTTCTGGGTTTTGATATGTGGTGTTAAAGCTCAGCCTAAAGTGTCTGAATAATAGGTGGCACTAGACACTTTCTGAACCTCGCTGAATAACAAGACCTGACAGGCAGCCCATTGTTCTAAATTGCTGTCTCGCAGAAAAGCCAACTGCTTCTGAAATTTCACCCACCTGATTTATTTAACAAAATCTCTACACATTTTCAGTCCCAAAAATGCAGACTGAGAAAGGTATAATGATTTTCTATTACACCATCAGTTTTACGTCCTACTGCTTTTAAAATTTCCAGTTCAAATTGCATGTTTTCTCCTTGAGGTACTTTCCAAGTTACATTAGAATGACTAAATAATAATAAAAGTTCCCTGTGGCACTTGTAGGTTTGACCCTTTTATGACTACAGTTTCTCTAAAAGGCGCAAGTGTTTTGTCCTTCCATTAAGAAATGGGCTTCATCTCTCCCCCTCCCACCCCCCACTGCTTTTTGATACTTGTGTGTGGGGATTCTGCTGAATACAAAGAGATTGGTGTGAATGATGAAAGTGGAAGCAGTATACAAAATAGGAAATTTGAAACAGTTGATGTTATTATATAAAGCCCTTCAATTTCCTAGAAGCACTAAATATTATATTTCTCATGTTAAAAGTTAGAAATAATAGGCATTTTACTTGAGAAAAGTTAGGTTTGCATCTTTTTTCTAAAAGGTCTGTCATCTCTCTGTTGGATGGGGAAAGGGGAAACTGTGATATAATACCAAAATAATTGTTACTGTTCTACTCTGCTTAGTCCTGCAGACTTTTATCTCTACAGCTCTGATTCATTAGCTTGGTATACAGTGATACCTGTACAAAAGTAACAAAATACATGAAAACAGCTATTAATTACCCCAATATTAGATACCATTGTTTAGGAAAAGCTGTTCAAGTATCCTAAAGAGAAGCAGTTTGCTGTATGCCCATACATCTCCTGTAGTTCAGCCTAGATTGGGTTATTTGTAAAGCAGCCTCAGTCGTTGTCTGTCAGCTATACAAATGTCATTAGGTTGACTAAAGAGTGTTGAGTTTCAGAAATAAGATGACAGACTAGTAAAGGAGAGTGTTAAAAATATCTGTATGGGAAAAGCTCATTCCTGCCTTGCGTGCATTTATAATTTTGCAAGTGCCTCTTGGGGAGATGAGAACAGATTTGCCTCGGTGAATGCTGACATCCTCAGAACAACATGAGTTCTGCTTGTACAGAAGCCCCAGGATGCCACTGTCATTTGCAGCCCTGAAACTGGGGGGCTCCTGTGTGTTAAGGCATTGCAGTCAATAACAGCATGATAGGTTACCCTTTTAAAGAGTCAGGTTTGTGCAAACCCAAGCTCTGTGGTCTGTTACAGTCTGCACGATGTGGAAGATGTGAGTAAAGGGGGGATCTTGAACTTTTTAAAAGAAAACCAAACGAAAAAGCCCACCCTATCCCTTCACCACATATGTAAAGTCAACAGAAAATTGACCGGGTGGATGGACGTGGTTTTAAATATTTGGAACAAGCTGTTTAAGTGAGTGACAGCAAGAGTTGTCAAGGGTGTAACTATAAACTGCAGACCTCATCTGCTCTTATCTGCTTCTGTGTTTTTACCACTGGTTGTATGCTCAAAAGCCTTCATTACTGAACTATTTCTGCTGTTACTAAAGATTATTTTATAAATCTGACTGTCAAGATCTTAGGAGTGCAGGCCATTGCCCTGGATGAGATTTTTTTTGGATGCCCAGCAGAGGGAGTGGATGTCCCACTGGTCCGGAGCTAGGGACCACAGTCCTGTTTTGCCTCTGTGAGTGTGTTCAGTTCTGCAGGACAGTTTTCTTTGCTTTTGTAGCCTTCTGATGCTGTGCTGTGTCAGATTAAAATCCTCAGCTTCGGTAGAAAGTGTGACCATGAGCAGTGCTGGTATAGTGGACCTGTTAATTTTTGTGTGGTATTGCAGAGCATGAGACACTTCCCAGAAGCATTAGAAAAACTTGTGAAAAAAATAAAGAAGATACATTTATGGTTTTTATTTTGGGGTTTTTTTTGTGGTTTTTTTTTTTTTTTTAATTCACCAGATCGCAGTAAGAAGATTCAAGGCATAATGACAATACGAAAAAAGGCAGAAGGTGATAGCCTGCCTAATGTCCTGTCACCCAGTGTCATGTCTCTGTGTGTGTTAAAGTCTTTAGAATATAAACTATACTGAGGAATTTCTACTTCCAATTCCTCTCAGTCCTCTCATATAAAATGAAAGCACAGAGCCTCTCATAAAGTAATTGTAGACAGTTTCTTTTGCTTTGCTGAAACTTCAAATCAGCCTAATGCAGAAACCAGCATGAAAAACTTAAGCCTAAGGTGAGATTTGGAAGATTGACTCTTGAGTCTTTAAATGGAACATTTTAGGCAATCATTAACTAGGGACAATGCTGCCAGACATATGTGTGAGAAGGCACCCAAAGTTTCATTGACTGAGAACAAAATCCCACGCTGTTGTTGTTAAAGAGAAAAGTCTCATCAAATACATTTTACATAACAAATACTCACAGTAGTTCAGAGGAAATGGTACTGGAAAGGACCCAAATTATTTGGCTTTGTCCATGTGGAGATCAGAGGTATAAGATGATACAGTTGATGGCTTGTTAATGTAATTTTATGGTAATCATTTGTATATTTTACTCTGCATTTACATGCAGAAATCATGCATTAATTTTCATACAGCCACATCATGTGCTTCACGTCAAGTACAAGTCTTTGCTTATGGTACTCCAGCCAGGACCTGGAATGTTTCATTATAATCTTGAGCAGATAATAAGTAGACAATAATAAATGAAGTAGGCAATACCTTCATCACCAATTCCTTCTCAGCCTAGCTGGGTAAGAGGATCATTGGGCAGAGTACATAAAAATTTGGAAAATTCTCTCTTATCATCATAGCACATCAAATTTGGATTTATATTAGAGGAAGAGAAACTTTTTGATTGTACATTGATAAATAAGATTTGAAATTTTATAGAAGTGGCTGAAAGCACCTTGTCTGTTCTACACTATTAAATTGAACACTGCCAGGGAATGTCCTTGAGGTGCTGCCATGGGATTGCCAATAAATCTTAGCAGGGTCCCAAACAATGACAAAGACGTAAAATCCCTTAAAATAATGCATTTTCTCAATCCAGAATCAGGCAAGATAATAGGACTAAGTTAGTTTCCTATTGATCAAATATATTAAGGAAGGTATCTCAGAAAATATGTCATAAAAGCAAATTTTAACTTCTGAAGTATAAAAGAAGAAAATAACTCCAAAATTATGGGAATTAAAACAGACTCTTCTTTTTAAGGAATCTGTGGAGTATAAATCTGATGTATAGTAGACAATCTTTATAAAATTGTTATTTAGCCATTAATTTGCTCTTTTGGTGTTTGGTATCAATTCAAAACAAATACAGGTAAGACTAATCTGACATTACATGAAATTCAGAAAGAATTCATGAATTAACATTATCTTACTTTTGCATTAAAATGATTGCCAGACTGTATTCAATCTTTAAAAATTTCAAAATTATTAGTTCACTTTCTCTTCTCTCTTCTGTTTTTGAGGTTGGGGATGAGATAGTGCGCATCAATGGATATTCCATTTCATCATGCACACACGAAGAAGTCATAAACCTCATTCGTACAAAGAAAATTGTGTCCATAAAAGTCAGACGTAAGTAATGTAAAAAATCACCTGTATCACCAAAGATTGCTATTAATGGATTGCTTGTGGTCTGCAGAAACCTAAAAACTATTTTTCTTTTTCAGATATTGGCATGATCCCTGTCAAAAGGTAATGGCTTTTTATTTGAAAACAGATTATCATTTTCACATATCCTCTCCTATCCAAAGAATCTGTATTTAATTATGAAAATGTGTGAATGCTGATTAAAATGTCACATCCTTTTTAATGAACAGGCAAATGTCTTGCTTGATGAATCTGATTTTATACCAGTTGCCTACTTAAATGAACCAATTTCTATTTCCTCATTTGTCACAGATATCTCCTGGAAATTTAATTATCAATGCACCTAGCTTAGCAGAGAGCTCCACTGCTTCTTTTTGTATGTAGCATTTGATGATGGCTTCAGAGTTTAGAAAAATCTAAAATTGTTTTGGTCTTCCAATTTTTGTTGAAAAGCTGAATCTTTAGGTGCAATGTTTGAGAAATGTTAATGACAGGAGGTGTCACTCTGCATAGACATTTGTGTAAGATGTTTGAGTGGTTACAGTTCCTTTTACAGTCTTCTCCTAAAATTATTTCACCTGGGAGGGCTTTATCAATTTTATATTAAATCTTTACCAGCCCAAATAATTGTATGCTTGTTTAATGTTCTATTTAAATTGCTGGAAAATAAACCAAGTGTGAATGGTATACAAAGAAAGTTGTGGATGCAAAACAGAAGGCTCCATTCCAAAGTAGCTTCTGGAATATATTGACATTCATTTTTTCCATGATTTAAAATTATTTTTTCCCTTTCAGTTCACCAGATGAACCTCTTAAATGGCAATATGTGGATCAGTTTGTGTCAGAGTCTGGGGTAAGAGATCAATATTTCGTTAAATGTCTTCTGGGGAATCTGTAATGCTTCTGAAACACTTTCTCCTCTGACCTTATCAGAGAAGCCATTGTATGCATTACGATAATGCAATATCTTGTTGAAAGCATTCTGTAAGGAATATCTTTTGTGATATGAAATTATTCTAGAGCTATTAGGTAAGGAAAGGGCAGGACACAAATGAAATTGCTTCTTCATTAACTACTTCATTTTGCTTGAGCTTATTAACTTCCCAGGCTACAGTTCTACTGCATAAATCTTTATCAGATTATTTGGCCTATTTTAGGCCTATTAGTGGAGGAATTACAACTTTGAATGCAAGTGAATTCTAAGGGTTGCAGATGTGAAAAGAAGCACCACAATTACTGTTCTTTTCCTTTCAGGAAGAAAGACTTAATTAAATAGGGAACCTTATCATGTATTTCTCCAGCCCTTTTGTCAGGGAACATCTAAATGATTATTTTTCCATATCACTTTCCTCTAATTTTCCCCCACTCCTTTCTGAAGACAAAATTTGACGATTTAAGTAATCTTCTCCAAACAGATAAGTTCAGTCTTTCACCTCAGCCATGCAGCTCCACTGAAATGACTCTACTTCACATTCATTTCCAGCAGGATAGGACCTTGGAGCCTTGAACAGCACATTGAATCTTATCTTGATGCTGGCTGGGCTTCATCCTGGCTACATGAAATTTTATAGTACTCTTGATACGAATTCAAGACAGAATTAACATCTGCAGCATTGTTTAATCCCTCTACAGGAAGGAAAGGGCAGTGTTGCTGGACTTGCTTCTTCTGGAGGGCGAGACAGTAAAGAGAAGAAAGTCTTCATTAGCTTGATTGGTACAAAAGGCATGGGATGCAGGTGGGTACACATTTTTTATTTAATGTCACTGTTTTTTAAATGAGACACTCAAGGCAGTTATTTCCATTGTTCTTGGATATGATGTCAGGAGAATAAAGATCCATGCTGGATCAGGAAGGCAAACTGTAGCAGTGGGATATCTGTGGCACATATTACATTTTCTAGGCAAAGCATAAGTACCTGTGTTATAACATCTGTCATGAAGAAGAAAAACTTTAAAACTTAAAAATAAGAGCAGACTGAAAGTGCCCTAGTACAACTTTTCATGGAATTGGATCTTTTAAATGCTTTTACGTTTTTAAATACTTAAAAGTGTTGCTCAGTGATACAGCAAATTCCAGCCCTGTCCACTGTCAGGTTCGCTCTCTGCCTTCTCTGACCCTTTTCAGAACTAAAACATCATCACAAAGCTATATACAGCTCTTAAAATTAGTGTTGAACTTGAAAGGCTTTTTAGAAATATGATTCTGGGATTCTTGGACTCCTGTCCTTACTTATGGAGGTTTTGGAGTAGAAGGGATATCCTAGGATTTTTTTATATATTTAGAAATATATAGTTGTAACCTTTTTTCTCCTGTAATTTGGAGGATGTAAAGGTTTTAAAAAAATTATATACAAAGCTGGAGGGGTAGCTCAGCATCACTTGTTTAATATATAATCTGCAAAAGTAGTTTCTGTATCCAGGCCCAGCTTATATGGCAACTTTCAGTTCCTGGGCTAGATGTTAGCCTCTGGACGAAACATCCTTCTTGCTCCTAATAAGTAATCCTAACAAAATAATGATATTTTATACATTCAGTATCTTGCAGTTCAGTGAATAATTAGTAATTCTTTATTGTGTTAGTTTCTCACTTTCAAGTATCATTAGTGTCCCAATCCTTTAGACCATGTAGGTCAGCATACATAAAGTTTCAGCATGTAAAACAAAATACAGAAGATTGAATATTTTTATTTTAGGTTTTTCTTTTAAACCAGTTTTGTGGGGTAGAGAATAGAAAAATAGGATGATAAACCATATTGTGTGTACTGGTAAGTTTTGGTGTTTGTTTCAGAATTGGCTAATACCATAAATATTCTTTACGTAAAAAAAATATGAGGAAACAACCAAAACAACTCATTGTATTCCTCATAAATGTTATTCTATAAATATCATCCAATTAATGTTTGGGGTTTTTTACATTTCCAGTATTTCCAGTGGTCCAACACAAAAACCAGGCATTTTTATCAGCAATGTTAAGCCAGGTTCTCTTTCAGCAGAGGTGGGCTTAGAGGTAAGTTTGCCACCTTCCAAGGTAGGTACCACAAGGAATTCTTGTTTTGTAATGACAACTCCAAGGATTCATGGTTTGTTTTTTTTTCCCCTTGGGAAAGAAATATCCAGTGAGTACATTGCAAAGCTAGTTTTCTAAATTTTTAAGAACATGAGTGATCTGGGTCAGACCAATATTCTTTCAAACTCAGGATTTGAACCCAAGCAGTGGCAACAGCAGATCCTAGTGTAGGAGTACGTGCGAGCCTAACCAGTTTCTAGTCTGTTCCCATTGCACTCTGCCAGTACCCATGATTGGTGTATGAAGGGAAACATCTCTTTCTGTTTTCATTGAATATATGTACTAACTTAGCATCCGTATGAAAATTTGCATTGATTTCTTTAGGTTGGTGATCAGATTGTTGAGGTGAATGGAGTGGACTTTTCTAACGTGGATCATAAAGAGGTAAAATCAAGTCTTCTTAGTTCCCTGGATTTGTAGTTGTCAGCTTATTAAACATCTGTCCTTTTTTCCTGTCCACAGAAAGTATGTTTTGATACTGGGCTACTGACTTAAGGGGTTGAGTATTGAACGTGGCATTTTGGATATTTGCATACCTACCACTCTGTTTAGTTCTGGTAATTCCAGCCTTGGCAACTAGCATTATACTGGCCTTTTATCCCTTCCTTCACACTGATTTTTGTTTTGTTTTAATTTTCAGGCTGTCAGAGTGCTCAAGAGCAGCCGTACTTTGACAATCTCTGTGGTAGCAGGCGCTGTAAGTAGTATATTTGTAAAAGCAGAACATTTGTAAGCAGAAAATTGCTATGTAAGTAAATCAATGGTAAAAATAAATGCATAAAAACAACAGCTGTGTTTCTGTATAAGATCTGTCAAACCAGGGCAGTTTTGAGTGGCAATGTGATTCTTTCATACCACACTGAGTATTCTCAATTGAAACATGACTGTGGGCCAATGCAGAGCCATTCCCTTAACAAGGAGTGGAAATTAACTTTATTGTAGTGGTCTCTCATGTTTGAGAGCTTCTGTTCTAATAGATATCTGCTTCTACTGAAACATGAAAGGTGAATTGGATTGGAGACAAATAATTTTTAATCCTGAATAGCTGATGCCTTAGTCTCATTCCAAATGAATTCCTTTTGTAACTGTTTATCTGATCTCATTAGCGTATTGACACACTGAAAATTGCTCAATTTTTCATTTCCACAATTCTGTGCAACAGGACTATAAGCCTTTGGGGTCTAATCTAAAGCCAGCTGAAATTAATTAAATCTTCCTCTGACTTCAGTGTGACTTTCAATAAATGTTCTAAGGTTTTTACTGCTTTAATCCTTCTTATAGAAAGTATGTGGTTGTATACAAGAGGATAATCAAGTTCCATAGACTAATCAAAGATGGTGTTTTCTAATTGCCCTGCAAATGAATTAAATAGGGGAAAAAAAAGATTTAATAAGTCACTTCAGCTGCTTCCTAAGGGTTCATGTATTCTGTGTAGCTACATTAAGGAATTAATAGTTTATTTGATCTACTCTTACGGTAACAAAAGATGAAGTTGTCCAAAGGCATTGTAGAGATTATTTAAACAAATACTCTGGGCTAGTTGATTAAGCTCCAGGAATTCAACATTTTAAGGATTTAGTTTCAACTCCCAGTTATGTTAACAACTTTAAAAATACGAGATCTACCTCAGCATGCATCACTGGTATGGTATCCTTAAAATGGCAAATTGTTGCTATGGAACTCTTCTGTTCCTCACTCCTTTACCTTGCATCATCTTCTCAATGGACATCTTTGTCTGGAGAACAGATAGCATGAGGAAACAGTTTCCCTATTATGGTTCAAAGACATTCCTCAATGCCTGGTTTTGTTCAAGATCTCTACTTTGCACTTTAGAGACATGAAAAATCCTACATTCTTAATTAACATGGAATTTTAATTTCAGAGATTAAAATTAGATTAATGTTATCAAAGTGTTCTACCTATAGCAGTATGGAGATATCTTTCTTGAACAGAAAATACTGCTAGTGTCTTAATTGTAAAGCAAATGAAAAAGGAACAAAACCAGCTGAAACACATAGAATGTTTTGGGAGTGTACATTCTCTGTACTTGAGTTCCTGAATGACAACACATTTCTGCAGCAGCCAGGCATAAGAGCACTAAAACACAGTAACTGTGTAGTCGTCTTCACATTGGGAATCATTCAGTGTTCTGTTCTCTGGCATTTCATTGCTCAGTGAGATTTCAAGGAAGTATAATTTGAATTTTTTTTCTGGGTGACACACTCTGCATGTATTTGGTGTGACCCCTGCAGTGTTGTTGTTGACTTCAGTAGTTGTAAACCTTGTCTGAGGTGTTTGGTACATAGTAACTTAGAGACTGAAACTAGAATAGCTCCTTGGAGTGAGTGGTCAGATCTTTGAGGATCTTTCAGGGTGTTTTCCACGGGAAGGGCAATGTGAGGAAATGGCAGGCGTGCTACTATGTAACTGGGTTTGAATTATTTCCTAGAAGAATTGCATTCATGAGGTACTTTCACAACTGATTGGGGTGGTGGTTTTGATTGCAGGGCAAGGAGCTGTTCATGACTGAAGAAGAAAGGCAAAGAGAAGCACGTCTCCGTGAGCAGGAACGCCAGGAGCTAATGCATCAGAAGCGGCTCGCACTGGAGACCAACAAAATCATCAAAGAGCAGCAAGAGAAAGAGAGATTGTGAGCACTCTCTGTAGGGCAGTCTGAAAATTTTAGCTTGGATTTGGGAGAGGGCATGGAAGACAGGAGCACATAATTATTTCTGTGATACTTCTCACAGAAGTGAGAAGATTCTCAGCTTAGATTAACTTTGTTTTGCTTTTGCAAAGTCTCTGTCCATAAAATGTTTGTCCTGTGATGCTCTTGATATTCTGGGCTTTCAAAGCTGATATCTTCGAAGCCATCTTAAGTAGAAGGGTCACACTACTACCTGACTGTTGTACCCCAATTATTAAGTGTGATATTCACTCCTGCTCACTCACGCTATTCACTCCTGCTTTATTTTTAGCAAGACAGTTAGAAATTTTATGCTCATACAAAAACACGCTATAGTCTTACCTCAGAAGGAGGTAGTGACTTCATGAAGTAGATGATATGCCCTTATTATCCAGATGGTCAGGAATGTCCTCAGGGTCCCTAGGAAACCATACTGAACCTTTGGGTATCTTAAAGATGACTTTTAAAACAGATTATTTTCCCCCAATACAAATATATTTATTGTCTGTATCTTTTACTAACTATATGCTGACATACTTTGTTCAGGTTCTTACTCAGAAAACACTATTTTTATCATGTTGTCCTAATTCCTCTTATTATAGAAGAAAGCTGGAGATTTCCCAGAAAGCTGCAGAGGAAGAAGAGAGATATCGCAGAGAGATAGAGCAGTGAGTAAAAACCTTACACAGGCAATGTGCCACCTGGAAAAGGGTTCCTTGTGTATTAGATTAGATCTGACTGAAAACATTCTGCATGTTGCTTTCAAATAAAATGTGTAATATTTCCATTTAGCTAAATGTGGGATCCAGTACATATCAGTAAGTACACCACAGTTAAATAGGAAACTGACCTGAAAATCAGCACCTGTAAACATGAGGATTATAAATAAACTTGAGGCAATAATAAATTCAGTGTGAAGTTGAAGTTATGCACTTATTTTAAAACTATTAATATATAGAGAAACTTAAGACTAAGGAAGTTCTGTGTCTCAGAACTTGTTTACTTTGTTGTCACTGAAACACTACATTTAATTCTATGAGGAAAAAAAGCTGTTCTGCTAAGAAACAGATCAGTACTATATTTTTAACTTAAGCATTCTTTTACATTTGGAATTTTGAAATTAACTGGTTGTTATCACAGTAATTAACTTTCCTTCTACATGATGCTGGGAAATTGCATGAAAATGCAAATTGCAGAATAGTATCTGTTTTGTTTCAGCCTTTTAGGGCTAAGATTGACCCTCAAGTCTTTGGCTTTGCGCCTTTGACATATTAAGGGGTTTTAATTCATTGAAGTCCCTTTTCATGTAGAAAGAAAAAGAACAGGGATTTCTGAATTTGTAAGGTGGATAAAGAAATATATTCCCTAGCTGTCAGGAGAGAAAAATCTTCTGGCAGTCCTGCTGTGGGCTATACAGCAGCAATGGATGAATTTTTATGCATTTCCCTTTTCTGATCCCAGGGAGTTGATAACATCCTGTTCTTTATTTGTGGCCTATTATAGAAATTCTTGCAATAGCCAAAAGCTGCTATAAAAGCAGCCATCACAGGTGAAGGATGATTCTGTTCTCCAAATCTAGATTGCCTCTCTGATATAATGGATGTTGGATGTCTGCTGTGCTGTTCTGCACTGAGCATCTTTACTCGCTCAGGGAGGGCTTTCATGCCCTGAGGGCTGCTCATTGTAAGGTGTAGCACAGCTTTAGACTTCCTTGTAGAATTTTTAAGTGTTGCTCAGGCATTTTTATGCTTTTCCATATCACAATCCAAACTGTTAAATTGGTGTCAATCTCCTGGGTGAGGAAGAGGGAGAATAGTAGTAGAGAAATCTAGATGAAATCTAAAGTTGAGATTTAATAGGCAGTTATGACTGGCTGAAATACAATATTTTTCTGTATTAATTGTTTGTGAGTATCATGCCTTGCATTCTTTTAAGAATCCTTTCTGCAGGATTTCCTTGTATAAAGTCACTGTGCCCTTTTTTGGTATCTTAAATTTGAAAAAAATTCAAATGTGCCTAAATGGCAAATGTCCCTAACTCTATGTACTGCAAGTAACATTGTAACACCAACTTTTTAAATCTAAAATTAAATGAAACATTCTGTCCATTGTTCCCTGACAATGCCTCTAAATTTAAATAATGAGCTCAGCTACAGATGTAAGAGTATTTTGACACCATGTGAATAGTTTTTCAATTTACTTTAGCTAATTTAGAGATGCAAAAGATAATCCAAATATAAATAGCATCATATATATCTAAGACCTGGTAAATTTTGTCACTACATTATCAGTTCAAGGCAAGCAATAGTCAAGAATAGATCCTGGGTCTATTAGATCTTGGATCTTAAGGCAGCATATATGAAGCTACCTATTGTAGCTACCACAGCACTTCTGCTGTGACATACTTGGTATTTGCTGTATTTTTATTTGAAATGTCTTTTTCTCTGATCATGGTGCCATACTAGGTAATTTACTTGTTTTGCATGCTCTTTTCCTGAATTGTGGCACTCTCTGCAGCACCCCCATCTGTACCTATTTCCCTCTCTTCTCTTTTTTAAATTTTTTTCCTTTCCCCCCACCCCTAGAATTCAGAATTTAATATGGTTTCTGTTTCAACAGTATCTATTTCTTTTTGGGAAGAGTCACTTTTTATGGCAACCTAGAACTATTGTGTTTAGGAAGGAATCATCAAAATAGATTTAAAGATTTAGAGAGGAGTCACATGTTTTTTAGGTATAGTTTGCCTTGTGATGTCTGATTCAGGTGTATGATAATCTGCCACTCAGTGTTTCAGTTTTTCTAGTAAGCAATTCCAGTCCTAAAAATTGCTAAGTGAGAGATGATTTTTTTACTTCATTCAAGCTGGTAGACAGTACTGTGGTGTGTCACTCATGGCTTAGTATCTATGCAGGTGATATATAACAGGCCTTAGAAGTCTAAATATTAAATAAGGATATCTTCTTACACTGTACTTTAAAAATTATTTTAGTAGCTTAGTAAATGAAACAGATTGGTGAAAGGAATTTGGTTATGAGGAAGGAGCAGTTTATTTTGCTTTACGTTCAAGAGAAAAAACAAATATACTAAAAAATTATAATGCTAATCAATATATACTGATGTGGTTGGTTTTGTACTCAGAATGTTTAACTGCATTTGTTTCCTCTAGGATAACAGCAGAGGAAGAGAAATTTAAAAAGGAGTGGGAAGAAGACTGGGGTCCTAAAGAACCACCCAAGTCTCTAAAAACTGTAACTGCAGAAGTGCATTCTGCCCCTCGATCCAAACACAAAAGTAAGTAATTGATGTCAGCTTACCTACTTCCATTTGTCTCAGACACATCACTGAGCTCTATCACCAGTTTGTCTACATGTTAAGCTAGCTATGAATTGGTTATTTTCAGAAGATTGGAAGCATATGATAAATCAATTAAATAACTCTTATTTAACAGGTGCCTATCTTGCAAAATCTACATCCATTCAAATAGTCATGGTTTTTAACAATCAGCAGCAGGAAAAATAAAAATAATAAGGCTAACTAAGTCTGAAGCATAGACGTCTATAACTTGAGTGTTTAGTGCATTGTTTTGCGTGTTGTTTCTGTTCAGTATTTACCTGTCAGCTTTTTCGCAGTTTGGCTTGGAAGGGATATTAAAGATCACCTTTTTCCAACCCCTGCCATGGCTGGGGACACCTTCCACTAGACTAGATTGCTCAGAGCCCCATCCAAAACTGGCCATGAACACTGCCAGGGATGGGACATCAACCACCTTCCCTGGGAAATCTGTTCCAGTGCCTCACAGTAAATAATTTCTTCCTAGCTCTAATCTAAATCTATCCTCTTTTGGTTTAAAGCCATTCTCCCTTGTCCTGTCACTACATGCCCCTTTAGAAAGTTCCTTTTCAGTTTTCTGGTAACCTGTTTTAGGTACCAAAAGGCTGACCTAAGTTCTCCCAACAGCTTTCTCTTCTCCAAGCTGAGCAGCCCTGACTCCCTCGGCCTTTCCTCATAGCAGAGGTGCTCCAGCCCTCTGATCATCTTTATGACCCTCTGCTGGTCCACATCCATCTTATATTGGCAGCCCCAGAGCTGGATGCAGCACTCCAGGACAGGTCCCATGGAAGCAGAGTAGAAGAGCAGAACTCCCTCCCTTGCCCTGCTGCCCTTGCTGCTCTTGATGCAGCACTGCTGGCTTTCTGACTTACTTGTCCAAGGGGAATTAAGACAGAGCTTAGCTGGCAGTTAAGAAGCCAAATTGGAAGCTGCAAATTCTATGTGGAGAGTGTACTAAAATTGTATTCTACAAAGAAAAATGTGGGAAGTTCTTGTTGCATAATTTATAGGAGGCCTAGGCCGATTCCTAACCTGATGCTATTTTATTATATTATTTTGTGTGTGACTTTCGGGAAGTCTGCTGATGGTTCTGTTAGAGGAAAAGCCACCAAGCTCTTCAGGCTTCCCTTCACCACATAGCAGACCAGTTGTCCACATGTAGATTCTAATAGCTCTTCAGGATTGGAGGAGGTTGGAGATTGTTTTAAGTAGGGCCTTTTTTTTTAACAATTCTTTAGAAAAATATCCCATCATTAACGACGTTTTTTGTTTCATGGAAACATCTAGTCACACATTATTGCTCTCTTTTTCATTTCATGGGAACCCCCAGTTACTGTCACTTCTGTCCCCTCACCCCTTTCCTCCTTTGTTTCTCTAGAAGGTTTAAAGGGAGTTGCACATGACCAACTTGAAACAGATGACATGGATGAAGTGAACGTGAAGCAGGACAAACAGGTTTGCTACTCAGCCCTGACTTCCTATCCTGATTCAGATTCTACCTGTGTCTCACCTCCTCCTGACAGTCAGTCTTGACATTAAACGGACCATTTGGTTTTCCTAGGGCAATATGTGTGGTCCTTTAGTAAATGATGAAACATTTTGACACTGCTGCTGTCATTGCATCTAAAGATAGCTTGATATGAAATCTAACAGCCCTACAGAAACATGGACTATATTGAGTGCTCTGTGTTAGTAGTGTTTCTTATATAAATTTATGGTAATATATTATTTTGTATGTTTTTACTTAGCAATATATTTTATAACATTTATACACTTGGCTTGAAATATTTTGTCCTGGGAAATGCAGCTTTTCATGTCTCCTCAAAAGCCATGCTCTGCCACAAGTTTGAATGCTTGTTTCATTTTCATAAGGCTTGCTAAAACTACTGTAAAGTAGGAGTGTGACCATAGAAATCTTTGAAATGCACATGCCTGTGTGGTTCTGTATGAAGATTACTTGTTGAATTTTCTTTGTTTGGCATAAAATGTGTATCATTAAAATAAGGGAAGCCTATGACTAAATGTTTTAAAACCATTTATCAAGGGTTTAGCTAAAAACTTGTCATGTAATATCAAACCTCTGTGCAAGGTGTTGCGCCTTCAAATAAATTTTAATCAGTTACACATATCTGCACGGATTGGTCTGAGTATGAGGCTTTTCTTCAAAAAACAACTTTTCCTTTACTTTTTGTAGCTTTTGGATGGTTTTATCGGTATGAAGGAAAATTTCCCACAATCCGTAAGGTACAAAGTTTGAAATGTGAATTTGTTTGCTGTGTGCATGTTTGAATTTGAATTCCTCATTTTCCTTCTTCTCTGCTATTAGTAAACATTCTTTATACGCAAATGCTCCTACTTTTAACGTGTGCACAAATTAAGATGCCTTTGGGATGTGTGTGTCTAGGACTTTGTCTTTTTGAGTCCTTCAGGCTCTGAGTTCGGCCATGTGCAGAGGGAATTGTATAACAATACATTGCAGGTGTTTATTACAGGTGGGCAAGGCATGTCTTCATGTTCTCCTGAAATCCTTAGAATCATGTGTATAAAAACAGTAGACACAAAAATTATACAGTTATACTTTTCCAAATCTCCCCGGAGGAGTGCTGAAGGCAAAAGGCTTTTAGTCATGCACATACGAGCAAAAAAAAAATTTAACAATCTTTAAACTGATAGAATAATTCTGTGTCCCCAGAGATGCTGCTGAAGTATTGCAATTTCAATTTATGAGAGTTTCAAGTAATATTTTATACTTGCTGTTGTTTCCTTCTCTTTCTTTCTTGCAATGTATATTAGCCGTATTATAGAGGCATTGCTGTTGTGTTGTGTGCTTTCGTGGTGAGGTTTTTGGTAATTAACTGTGGTAAAAGTGCCATGAATATTTTGTGAGTGTATCTGGCAAGAGCTCAATGTTTCAGAGGAGGTCAGGGTTGTTTCTGACAGATTAAGTATTTGTGTCACTGTTCAGAACTATTACTTTGACCTTTGTGTGCCAGGCATATACCTATTCCCCTTAAAAGAGACCAGGAGAAGATGGTGCATTCCAATACCTTTTTGTACTGCTAGTACAAAATCATCAAGGATCTGTAACCTGTGTGAAAACCAGGGCAGTTAGGATTTTTATCTGAAAATTATAAATGCATGCTGTGGAAATTCTTCACACAAAGAGGGTAATATTTGGTGTTTCTGTTGACAACTATAGTTTAGAGAATGCCAAAATACCTCTTCATATACTAATAATCTTAACAAAATTCCTGTTGAACTTTACCACACTGTGTGCACTGGAAGTTTGAAAATACTTTATTTTCAATAATTTGCTTTTTGCATTAATGAAATTTTTTCCTACTCCCTATTGCTAATGATTTTTTTGTTTGCTTTAAAAACAATATTTTACTCTGTACTAAAAATGTCTATAATAGGAAGTAAACTGAATCCATGGGGAAAATTGTAGGAAAGGATGAATCATCCTGTTGTATCTGAATGCTGTGAGTGCAGCTAAGACTGTCAGATGTATGTTCATGTTCTAGAAGACTTTGGGTTGTGTACTGCTTTTTGTGCCTTTGAATTCAGTAACTCTTCAAATGTTGATACCTAGCAAGTTGACCTGTCTGATGCTACATGTAGCAGACAGTACTAAATGTATCTTTGAATTTTTAAGAGGATGATATTGGCAATTGTTGTTAAGGTAAAAACTAATTAGCCCTGAACAAAATAGACCACAGAATTAGGTTTATGTAAAAGCATTATTGTGAAAAGCTAGATTTTTTTTAGTTAAGCTTAATCTCTGATGTTTTTGGGGTTCCTTGTCCTCCTGCTCCCCTCACCACCATGTAATCATGAAGCAATAGACCACATCCCACTGAACTCAGCAGTACAAAGTTCCCATTAACTCCTTGACTGGGGGAATTGGCTTCTGTAGCTGCCAGGGAAAATGTCTGTTTTCCAAGGCTTTGTTATCAGTATTAACATGCAAAAAGTGAAAGGAAGACAAATAATGCTATTTAATGTGAAGCAGTTTGTGGTGGTTTTGGGAATTCAAAGCAAGAAAAGTCGATAGCTGACGATGAGAAAAACAAAATAAAACCTAAAGCACAGCCTTTCTGGCTATGGCAGTAATTGTCAATAAGTGGCCACCTGCTCCTCTGTTTTACTTTTCATATATAAAAGGAGAACATGGCGTTTCCAAAATGAACTGTCGTACCTGTACAAACGTGAAAGGGTAGCAGAAATGTGACATCACTAAAGTAGAATTAAGGAGCAATGGGTGTTTTGTAGACAACAGGAACACAGGCTTCTAAAAGACTATGTAGCTTTTTTCTTTGTTTGTATCCTACCTCTTAAATTGTAGAGTCCCTTTGTGCTGTATTATTTAATTCTGAGTAGATTTTATCCAATACTTATAGGAGCTACATGGTCTTTGTGATGCAATGTTCCTTCTTGGAAGCAGGAACTCAATTTCTGAACTGATCTAAACCTTTCCTTTATAATTCTTTATTCCGGTTTTATTAGGTGGTACAATGCTGATTTTAGGGCATATGCATGAAGCTGTTGTATGCATGGACTATGCACATCTACCTATACATGAGCATCTGTCACCTGAAAGAAATGTATGTATATATGTATATATAAATGCCAAAACAGAGAGATGGAAAATCAAGACCCAGCTAAAACTGTCTGAATATTCAGAATTTAGTAGTGGGCCTGTGTGGCCTAAAGTTGTAACTTAGCAGAGGAACAAAAAAGTTGAATTCTCTGATTTTATCCAGCTTATGTTAGGGGGCACAAGCCCTCCAAAAAGTTTGAATTTCCTGCAAATTGCTGGGTAGATGGATTTTGGATTTTCTTTTAAAAAACCATCCCCATTCTTGCATAGATTGTAATTAATTTTTCATGGCAGACACTCATGTACCAAAATTGAAGGTTGTGGTGGTTTTAGCTGATGTAAAAGTTTTGTTACAAAACCTTCCCAGAAAGGGAAAGAAAGAAAGAAGTCAAAAAGCGATAGTTTTTGTGAACAGAAGAAAAATAAAAAGGAAATGGAGTTTGAGCAAAAACTTGCCAAGGAGAAAGAAGGAATGTTGGAGAAAGAAAAACAATTGAAAATAAATCGTCTTGTGCAAGAGGTATGTTGTGATCTATCAAGTTCAAAGCTATATTGAAAGAAAATTAGATGGATTTTTAGTGGAATTATTTTAGCAGGTAACTTATTTAATTATTATAAGATAATTAAAATTTAAAAAACTGTTTTACTACAAAATTCCGTTGCCACATTTGCTTATTTCTACTCAGCTTTTGCCCAAATGAGGATATCTCTGCAGTTGTGTCCATGTGTAGTGATGAATTTACTGAAAAACAGCAAAATAGGAAATCCTTAAAAGTAGTAGTATTATTTTTAAACCTATTTCAGGTGATGTTTCATACTTTTGAAGCACATTTGTATTATGACCATACCTATAACCTTTTCTAATGCACCAATGTTATGGTCAAGGTATCTGAGACAGAACGAGAAGACCTGGAAGAATCAGAAAAGGTGCAGCACTGGGTGGAAAGACTTTGTCAAACACGGTTAGAACAGATCTCCTCTGTGGAGAATGAGTCTCCTGAGGTAAAGCTCTAGCTTTTCCATATATTGCATGATCTCTAAATAACTGAAAGTTGTCTCCTAAAAGCAACAGGTTTTACCAGTGAAAAAAATCTTTGTCTTTTCCCCTCAGTCCGTCCTCAAAGAGGGGGAAAAAAGTCAGTAATTGATGACTTACAGTCTATAGAATTCGCTTTTCCTATATTTTATGAAAATTTAGACATTATTTTAATGGACTGATTGTATATTGTCCTTTTTAACTCTATTATCACCACTAAAATAACAGTTTTCTTGTCTCGTGAAATATTTGGGCTAGGTGGGACATGATGCCAGTAAAAAAGCTAAATCCATCTATATTTATTAGTATCATGTGAATATAAGAACATCATTGATGTACAGTACAAGGAAGCTTCCCTGTACTTTGTGAAATAAAGGAACAGGATAAGAAAATTACAAAAATATATGAAACTCACAAGGGACAGGGTTTGGGCTTGTGCTTTAAGTAGTCCCCTTTAATCAGGGGAGCTGCAGAAAGTGATTGTTCCTTAGAGCCTGATGGTTCTAGACTTGGGGTGAGGCTTTCCCACCATCCTGTTTCTGTGGCTGTCTTCCAAGGAAAGCCACTTCCAAGAGGAACACTGCAATCTACTGAGCTCCCATGGGGTCCCCGAGAAACTGCAACCACAAAAGGCGCCTTGGGGAACACTCTCACATGATTTTCCTTCAGGTCAGCATGGAACAGCTCTGAAAAAAGCAGCTGTTTTTTTGTGCCTTATGGCCCTAGGCTCAGATCCATGGCATTTTTCAGTACATTTTTAGTGGAATGATTATGCAGAGGTTTTCTCTCACTACGCAAACTTGGCAATTTGTGTTCTGCTAGAATTTTGTCCCCCTTTGTGAAGTAAGAAGGAACATTACAGATTACAAACACTGTTGTATTTTCAGAACTCTACCTGGATTTGAGACCAGCACTCAGTATTGTGTTTGCTCCATCAATTTTTCATTATATTACATATAATTGCCATACTATGATTTTTCTACAAAAAAATTCCATTATGTTATATATAATTGCTCTAGTATGATTTTTTTCTACACAAGCAGTTAAAACATGTAAACCACAAAACCTGAGAGCTCCTTAGGAATAAATGCAGCTGAAAGATATTCAGGTTCTACAGGTTGGAACTGTTTCTTGGGAACAAGAGCATCCAAGATCTCAACCTCTGTCAAAGAAATAGCAATTTTTTCAGCACAAAGGGGTGAGCATGTTAGATAAGGAGAATGTGAAAAGTGTTACCCACTTGAGGGAAGTGTTGCCATATTAGAGTAAGATGAATGTGTCTGTCAGACAGCTTATCTATGTAAGGTTTTCTAAGCTGAGTCTACAAAATAGCAAAATGACTGAATTTTCTCAAATACTCCAGTTGGATCACTGATAAAAGCAATGTTAGCAGCTCTAACAGCATATGTAAATGCCTCTCTCACACACATCCTTATTTTTTTTGGATGAGCTGCTCATTGCATTCAAACTCTGAAGTTGTTTAGTGCCCGAATAGATTGGTGTGGATTAACATAAATTATAAGACCTCAAGCCCCTTGAGGTTCTGAATTTAATAGTGCAGTAATTTTTTGTTTTGATAGCTGCTTAAGTTTAGTTTCCTTCCTTGTACTAATGTGTGGTTATGTTTACACAACTTTAACCCCTTTCCCTTTTTTAACAACAAAGAATCTCAAGGCCTGTCTTTGATTATTTTCCTTAAAATAATCACCTTTGTGGGGAGTAATTCTTGCTCCTCCTCATAAGAGCCAGAGAGGCAAAAGTTATATTATCTTGCTTTGTCCTGTGATTTTGCCTTGTGAAAACTTCATGCCATTGGAGTTTTGTGGGGTTTCTTTTGTCAACCCCCCTTACCTCTATGGCTGCTCTCACACTACTCCTGTTTTTCTTATTTTTAAACTGGAATCCCAAGGAGTGCTTTTGGAAAGGCTTTCAGAGAAAACATTTGTGTATATTGTGTGTGGGAGAAGCAAGCTGTGTGTTCCTGTGTGTTACAGTGCGCTCGGGCTATGCTTTTCCCCATTTCCAGGGACCCCTGTGACTCTGATCAGATAAGAGTGTCCCCTCCTTCCTGCCCCAATGGGGTTGGCGGAGAGCCAGAAGAGCCCTCCCTGTTCAGAGCCTAGATAACCCCCTAAGCCTTCCTGTTCACCCTCTTTCCCCCACTCTTTCTCCCCGGATCTCGTGGAATAAAGAAGCTGGACAACCACATTGGGGTGAGAGCCTCTTTTGAACCTTTTGCCATCTCCTGATGTTCCTCCCCTCAAGGCCTTGTATCTCTGGGCTAGCCTAATATTTTAGGGGCTGAAAGATGTAGAAGCGTCACCTGTGGAGGAGCAGTTAGGCTGAGCGGTGCTCTAGGGCTGCCCATTTCTCAGAAGTGTTGAGGCAGGTTTCTGTTCTGTCACCCGTAGCCGGCGAGCGGCCGCCCTTCAGCCTCTCCCTCTGCCACCTCGATGCGGCGCTTTGCGGGGGGCCTGCAGCTGCACACCACAGATCTCGATGACTTAAACTTGGATGAAGTTGACAAACCCAAACAGCGTGCGCCGCCACCACCGCCGCCGCCGCTGCCCCACACTGTCACCCCAGCGCCACCAGCTCATCCACCTCCTGCCTCAAATGCTCCACGAGGTCCAGCCCTGTTGGTAACACCAGCTTCCCAGGTGACCTCGGGGTCTGTTTGGATGCATGTTCCTTTACCGCACCCCGGCATGCCTCCTGATCCATCACCATCTTTGTCCACTGGACCTACCCTTCTGCCCCTTGCAATGTTAAAAGAGGGAATGGAGTGGTTTCTTCTTTTTTTCAGAATGCAGTCCAGAGATAGTTTCATTTTAATATTTTTTAAATATAAATCAGGAGGAGTTTGCTCTCCTGCTTACATACCTTGTAACCTTATTACCTGCAGATGTCCTAGGCAGAATGTATCAGTTAAAGAAAAAAAAAAAAAGATTATTTGAACTTGAGTGATTAAAAAAGCTATTGCGGGCAGCAAATTTAATTCATTGTTAAATTTGAGAAAAGTATCCCTGTGGTGAAAATGACTTGTAGAAGTGCTTTAAATGTGTCATCAAATTGCGGTGTTAGGTGAGAAGAGTGGACAAAGAAAACTGGCTTAAAGTCAGAAGGTCTTTTAAAAGGTCAAAACTGTAACTGTAATTGTTTTGTAAAACATAAAAGCAAGAGCTGGTAACCTGGTTTGACTTTTTGCACTTTGAGAAAACATTGACTTTCTCCTTATTGCACTGTGAGTCCAAAAGATGATCAAATAAAAGAAATATTGTTCCAAATCTCGCTTTAAGAAAGAAATGGCAGCTGACTCATCATAATTCCCTTTGCTAAGCACTGTAGTGAGAATCACGTACTTGTTCTTTTGGCAAAAGCTCCTTACTTGTTTCAAGTAGCAGAAGAGGATCCCGTATGGTCACTTCTTTCCTCCACAGTTTTCTGCATGGGTTGTCTGACTGCACTGTTGGGTTTCGGGGGTTTTGCATGGTTACCATACAGTCTTTGTATTTGCATGATTCTCCTTGGGTGGGGAAGGATATGCAAATTTTTCCCTTTTGGTGGGAAGATTTTCTTTCTGTGAATAATTGCCCTGATGTGACCCATGAATCTCTTGTAAACTTAGGTGGACCTCTGATAGTGCTTTATCTATGTGGTTCATACATTGGAAGTGCCAAGAATGTGCTAGATCTACTGAAATGGAAATATCATATGTTCTTATGGATAGCAGGCTTCCCAAGTTATTTGCAAAATAAAAATGACATGAAACGACATAAGTGTACAAAATACTTGTGTTGAGAGGAGAAGTACACCCTTTTAAAGAGAGCAAAGACTATTCAGATAGAAGGAGTAATATAGAAATTGCCGTACTTATCTAACCCCAAATCAATATAATCTAATATCTTGTTTCTGGCAGTTTTTCACTGCAAGCTATGTTACAGAAAATAAATTCATAATTAAGAAAAATATGTTAGATAACAACAAATTACCTAGTCTTTGAAATTAATGTCTGTTTTCACTGGATATAATTACTGTATATGAGGAAATGATTAGGCTCTCAGTAAAATTAATTGAGCCAAAGCCGCTTTGTTTATAAATAGATAATTCAGTATATCTGATGTCATTTCAGAAATGGAACAAAAATCCAAATCTTGACAATTTATTCTTGCTACCTTTTACAAAGTCAGTTTTAAACCCCACAGATAAGCAAAAGTAGTGCATTTGTGTGGCTGGGGATTAAAGATCTCATGTTTATGCCTGCTAAAGCCAAAAAATAAGACAACTGTAGTTGTCCCATAAGTTCATTTTTCTAATATTACTCAAGCTGATACATCTTCTCTACATTGCTCCCTTTTTGATTTTAACTCAAGATAACATAATTTCCAGTTCAGCTTGAAAAAAATCTGACAAAAGGAA